TTTCTTAGAAACCCCTTTCTATTTTTTGACACCCTCTCCAACCCTTCTTTCCCCCCACATTTAAAAATCTATTGTTTGCAGCAGCCCCTATGTTCTGCCATCGAGTCTCAAAAATTCTCTAGGAGAAATCCTTAAACTTCACATTGATGTCTGAAAGGTCTTTTTAGGAAAAATGGTTTGAAACACTTGCAGAGTCACTAATTTGCTAGGGAGGTTAAGCAGTTTGTGAACTTAAGTTTACCTGGGGAAATATTTTGACTTGTTTTCTTCTCCTTTTCTTGGACTTGGAAATTGTAAGTAGTCTGTTTATGTCTTTACATAAAGAAAAAAAAAGGAAAAAAAAAAAAAAACTAAAATGGAATAGCACTTTAATCTGAGTATATTATGGCGGGGCAACTTTAGACAGTATTATGACATTACTACAGAAATAATCAATACCGACAATTATTGTGCTTTACGCTGATGTTTGAATTATTTTATGAAAGGTCTGTTACTCACTGGCTCTAAAAGAGACAAATGCCATAGAGGAGGACGTGGTGGGTGGGATGTTATGATAACAAAGACGTTTTGAAAGTTAACATTCAACACATTATAAACACTGTTCTGTCACAATGAAGCTCACCCTAAAATAGGCATTAGATGTTTCTGCAGCGTTTGTTGATTAATCCCTAAATAGAGTAAGGTACAGTATTAGTAAGATTTAGCATCTGGGATAATTTTACATCATATGCTTTTTAAAGTTGTTATTTTAAAAACAACTAACAAAGGAGTGTTTGGAGTCAGACTTAATGAATACTCGGTAATAACCTTATATATATATATATACATATATATATATACCTTATACACATAGTAAAACACAAGTGCATGTGCGGATTTGTTCTCAGATTAATTAAGTTGAGCTGAGTTTAATGAGTTCGCGCTTTTATAATGCTTTGTGCAGGGGTTGTTCAAGGAACTTTTGGTGGTCTTTTCTCCTTGTTCTATTCTCTCGTCAGTTCCTTAGCACATAAGAACACATACAAAACATGCGCACACACACAGGAAGAGAGTTTGTGAAGGGACAGAAGCCAGAAGTCCCAGGTGGGGGATCATGCAAATGGCTTCATGTTTTGTCAACAATATCTCACATAACAGCCCTAAGGATTCAAATAGGACAGACGTGGCAGACAGAGTGGAAGATGAGAAGAAGATAAAAGTTGAAAGAAAAATAAAAGGAGGAATAAATCAAACTCAAAATATGGGATGGGTTGAGAGCAGAAGAGTGAGAATAAGGCCAGAAAATGTCAGAGGTCTCTGCTCTGTCCCCACTGTGTGCTGCTAAACTGAGCACCAATTTCCTGCAGTTCTGTCACCTCTCATTTGTTAAGCCCCTGTTCTTCTCCCCCTGCTACTCTACCATAATTCTTTTCTCCTAACTCAGTCAATTGTTCATGTGACCCCTTTAAATTCCACGCTGTAGAATCAACACTTTTGGTCTGTTTATGTGTGCTACACATAAAGTAAATTCAGTCAATTCTTTAATTTAATAACTTTTTTCTGCAAGTCTATATTGATACTAATGTAAAGAATGATTGTAAGAGACTTCCAAAGCACATGGACGAACATGTGTGAATGCGTACATTTCTGACTGCAGAGTGAAGTAATGCGTGTGTGTACATTAGAGAACTTTAAGCATTTCTACCCGGAGGAAGTCCTTTGATGTTTGGTCAAAGACAGCTGAGCTCAGATTAAAGAGAAGACCCATTATCTCACATTGGACTGACAGCACATGTTCCTGTTAGGGATGGAGCACAGTTTAGACTCGTCCCATCATTTAGCCTCTGTGTCAGTCAGAAACCATTTGAACACAACTTAGAAAACACTCTTTAGGAAAGTTTGAACAGCATGTGTCTCTGGGGCACCTTATTGTTTTGAAAGCTCTTTTTACAAATTGACTTTTGGCCTCAAGGTAGACTAAAGCCGTGATTATTAACTTTTGGCTTGCAGGCTGAATCTCGTCCACAAAGATTTTTTACTTTAATTTTCTTTGAGTGTCTGGCCCCCATGGTGTTTGTCCAGGAAGGATTTGGCCCTCCAACAAATATGGTTGGTGACCCCTGCACTTAAGTGTCTTGTCTGATTTTCATTTTCCTGGGAAAAAAAAAGTATTTTCCTCTCCAAAATTATTTCTGAAATATCCATTCTAGAATCAAGGTTATCTTCAAAAATGTGCAGCTCCCCAGGTCATGGTCATTGATGCACAATAATGTAATAGTGTTCTTTGCAGACCATTAGGGTCTCAATGTTTTTTTTTTATTTATTAACCAAATGTTCTGCAAAAAAGAAAGTAATGTTCGCTAAGTACCATTATTTAACCATTAGCCCTTATTTAGTTTTATTTAGTGCGAAAAAAGGACCAACCTTTGTTGAAAAGGGATTTTTAGATAATGTAATATGAAGGTACATGTTTTATACACTGTATTATTGTGATATAAAATGCAGACCATAATTGGATATTTAATTATAACTGAGTATTTTACACCTTTCATATAAAATACATACATTTTGTTCCAAACAAAATCAGGTTTTTACACTGTGATCTTTACCCATGTTGAATGGTGTATAATATAGCTCTGTATTTGTGTTTACTTGCAAACAGAGCCTAATTACACACATGCAGGTGTACTTCAAACCTAGATTTGAAGTTACATTTTATTTTTTATAAAGAAAAATACTAGAAAGTTTGCGTCCAAAACAATTATGTACAGTCAAAAAACAGTGCTCCCTTTTCTTCTTACAAATATAATCTTATGTTGATGCTCAGATATTTTACACACCATCTGCTGGATCAGAAACCTACAGAGCCCCTAAAGGGACATGGGGGGTGGGTGGGGAGACCTATCTCGTGCGCACGAGAAAGTATATCTAAGACATTTACCCTACATTAATTAAATGCTCACCATATATACAGTACATATGTCACGCATGACATGCCGGTATCTTAGATTTCCCAACCGTACGTACTGTACATGATTGTTTTGTTTTTTAATGTATTACACTGTATGTATGTGTGGCAAATTGTCTTAGATATACTTTTTCGTGAGCACGAGAAAGTATCTAGTGAGCACGAGATACGTTTTCCCATGTCCCTTTAGGGCAGGGGTGTCAAACTCATTTTCACTGGGGGCCACTTTAGCAATACAGTTCCATTTGAAGGGCCGGTTGTAACTGGAAGACTGTATAGATTAGGGATCATTGAAAAAATGTACTTAATTTTTACTGATTTACTTCATTCAAAGAAAATCCACTCATATCCATTTACTTTCTTTATTTAAGGATAATCTGGCAATATTTTAAAATAAAAGTCATTCAGACTGATACAAACAGAATAGAGTCTGAAAGTCGTTTTATTTTGAAAATGTAATGATCCTTCAATGCTCAGAACCTTGGTACAGGTCTGTACTAATGGGTGGTACTGGCTGACCAATCCTTGGAACAAAAAAGGTTAGGGACCACTGGTATAGATGTAACTACTCCATAACAGACTAATACATGTTTCTGTAATTGATTATTATTATTATTATTTGACTGATTATAAAAACTTAATTTCTTAGGTTAAGAAACTCTGCTGCATGGACTTTACTAAACGCTTTTTAAGCTCCCACGGGCCACACAAAATGGCTTGGCTGGCCGCATTTGGCCCCCAGGTCTTGAGTTTGAGCTGCATGCTTTAGGGGCTCCGTAGAAACCTCTCCTCAGAAAAGAATGATTGGAAAACAGAGTAGAAGAAGTCAATTTTGTAGGTTCTAGTGGTGTTTTCCTCTGAAAGGAAGGACTCATGCTTATTTTGGATGATCTCCACTTGCAGCTGTGCTCAATGATCAGACTGGAATTAAAGGTAATTAAAGGTACTTCCATGAGCCTTTTTTCCCTCAAGTGACAAACAGGTGCTCTTTTGAAATAGGATAGCTGGGCAACACAAGACTTTAGTTCTATTTCTTCAGATTTTAACGCTTATAAAAGAAAAAAGAGGTCACACATCCAACATTTGCTATGAGGGAATATTTTGCAGTGAAATAGGTGTTTTCTTAATAGTTCTAAATACAAGTATTATATGTAAGGAACATACCTTATAGGGTCTTTCACTATGTTGTTGCAGTGCAGTATTTTGATTTTGTATTTTACTTGTAGTTTAGTAAGTTACAAGTTACTACATATCTGATTGTATGTACTTGTCTTTATTTTTATTTTTTTCCCCACAATATTTGATTAATATACTTATTGTTATACATTGGTTCTGGTTCAACAGAAAAGGAAAAGTATCACATTTGTTATCCATTATTCTCAAAGGGAATTATTTGTCCTTGTGACACAGCACACCACTGCACAGTACACCACTGCACACAATGAAATGTGACCTCTGTTTTTTACCCATCACCATAGTGAATGCGCCCGGGGCTCAGAGCACCTCAGTGGTAACTTGGCGGTGGACTTGATCCAGGATACTGTTAAAAAGTCATAATTTCAATAAGAACCAATGAAATGATTATTAATTGAGCATTCTGAATATTTATTTAATACATATTGAACATGTCAGACAGCTCAGTCACATCATAGAAAACTGAACACTGGCTCATGGACTGCTACAGCATATGAGTCGTGGAGGAAGAAAGTGTTTTCAAGTGTATCAGAGTGAAAAGGTTCATCATAATGGGTTGAGGGTATTGACAGTTCGGCAGCACTTTAAGGGTGTGGTGGATTCAGTGAATGGTTTTGCAGTAAAGCCAATCAATAAGAGTGAGTTAAGTTGTCTGCTTGTCAGTGTGTTGAAACTTGTAGAATGCTGACTGTATCTCCCTTCTTCATGTTCTCAATATCTTTTGATGGACTTGGCAGACAGCATTTGTATAATGAAACATCTAAATCTGGCTGCGGTTAGAAATGTTTTACTTCTGTCCTCCAGTGATGCTGCTTCTTCACTGAGTTCCTCCTCTTTTCTTTTCCCTTCTGTTTCACAGGCAACGTGTTGGACAGTATGTTACTGAAAGCGTCAAAAAAGGACGCAGTGGAAAGTGGGAAAGAGACCAGTGGAAGCACAGTCGCTGCTGCCCCCCCCCAAAGACTACTGTGGTGTCACTGCTACCACCAATGCCCCGAGGACTCAGTCAACAACACGTGCAGGTAAAGAGGCAGGAAGTAACACAAACATATGAGTACTGTTTCCAGAGAAGTTGGTATTCTTCCAAAAAATACAATCAAAGCCGGAGTCTGGAAAATGTTGGTAGAACACCAGCCATTACAGTGAGAAAATCACTGGTTCACTGGTCTGATCTCAGGTCCAACACCACATACATTTTTATGTCTTAATTAATTACATATTTGTCTTAAACTGCCCCCGTATTTGATCATCAGCTTTGTGTATAAAAATTGCATCTACCAATAGACTGTAATCCGTTGATGTATTATTAATAATGGTAGTAAAATTGAATAAACTAGGGACTATTATCAACTAAAGCATCAACTGCATTGTAATTATTTAGAGAAATATTATTTGAGGTTATTTGTATTCCTTATTAATTTCTTTTGCTCATCTTTTTGTTTTGAATTTCTAGGACTGATGGCTACTGTTTTACTATGCTGGAGGAGGAGGGAGGGGTACCAGTCCAGACTGCAGGCTGCCTGGGGCTGATCGGATCAGAGTTTCAGTGCAGGGTGAGTTGTTTAGTTAGACATTAGTTAGACATTTCTTTTTTGAAATTGAAATTTAATTTTTGTTTGTTTGTTTTTAACCTGTTAATCTTTTGACAAATTCTTAAAAATGAAGGTGGAGTTTTGGGCCAGGCATCTTAGATTTTATTGTTTCATTGACTTAACTTTGGTTACTTTGAATCTTTCCTTCTTGTAGGACACATGGAACTCACGTCAGAGGAGATCCCTGGAATGCTGCACAGACCAGGATTTCTGCAACAAAAACCTGCATCCTACACTGCCACCTCTGAAACCTCCATGTAAGTCCATGCCTACTCTCTGCTGGTCTCTGTTGGCCTTTAGACTATACACTTTTAAGCACCACTTGTTCCACACTGGACAGGTGACAGTGACAGCACTGCGGTGACGGTGATGCAGACAGATCCGAGGTCTGTGACTGACAGTGTTACAGTACACCTGATAAAAAAAAATAGGGATACTGTGTTGGTGTCAGAGACCTGACGTGGCAGAGACAGGGACAGAGACTGTCACCGCTGCCCTGTGATTTCTAAAGAGAATTCTGAGGTTTCTGCCCAGTAGAACTCTATACTCCACATGTGAGACTCAGTTTGGGTGTTTAAAACCGTAAGACTAGATTGCCTGGGAAATCACAAGCCCCAACAGGCAGCGAGTTTCACAGCCATCAATCTGAAACCATATCACTGGCGATCAGGAAGATAATTCATTGACGACGTGCAATTCTTCTCACTGTTGACTGGGCCCTCCAGGGGAAAATAGTGTGTGTGTGTGTCTGTGTGTGTGCCAGAAGAAAATGAAAAATTGATGAGCGTAATTGTGCTTGATTTACTTCATATCACTTCTTTCAAGTGACTCTTAAAGATGACTGATCACTTAATCGAATTCTTTCAGTCAAGTACAATTTTCTTTTAGAGTAATGCAGAAATGATCCCTGAAGTTAGAAGTTAGTCCAGGTTTTAATTTGGATTAACTGATTCAGGCAAATAATACATTTTAGGTACATCTTACATCAAAAACTTACTACTGAATCAGTAACACTGACGCACACACTCTCACCTGTAGATGGCGATCACGTTTATTTGCTACTCTCGATGGATGACATACATATGTGTGAGCTCACATTAAAAGCAGAGGGGACATTTGGTTGTGTGCAGCGGTGTGCTGTGTCACAATGACACGCAGTTCACTTTCTCTTTCTTTCTCTCTTATTCTTAATAGATGAATAACAAATAACAGGGCAGCATCAAGTGAAATTGTTTAATGCTTAATACAAAAAAATAATTCTCTCTGCAACTCTCTGTGTTTTCTCTCCAGTCTATGTCAATGGAAAGATCCATCACATGGCCTTGTTGATCTCGGTCACTGTTTGCAGTCTGATATTGGCCATCATTATTGTCTTCTGCTACTTCAGGTAAATTAACCCATAACTCTGAATCCTAATTTTTTAATGTGACACTTTTATCAGAACAGCGTGCTGAGTTATGGCTGCCTTCCAGGTACAAGCGTCAGGAGTCCCGTCCACACTACAGTATTGGTCTGGAGACAGATGAGACCTACATTCCCTCGGGAGAGTCTCTGAAGGACCTGATAGATCAGTCACAAAGTTCTGGCTCAGGCTCAGGTCTCCCTCTATTGGTAAGATACACACATTACAGACGTCTAACAGATGTGTTATACTCTTCTGGAAAACATTTCCATATCAGTAAGAACAGATTTTTTTTTGTAATTTAAACGTTACATGTTTACTGCTTTACCTTCAGGTCCAGAGAACAATAGCCAAGCAGATACAGATGGTAAAGCAGATCGGCAAGGGGAGGTACGGAGAGGTGTGGATGGGCAGGTGGAGGGTGGAGAAGGTGGCCGTTAAAGTCTTCTTCACCACCGAAGAAGCAAGTTGGTTCAGAGAGACTGAAATCTATCAGACTGTCCTCATGAGACACGAGAACATACTTGGTAAGAGCTTTGTGTTTGCTGCTCCGTTGTCTGTGACCACAGCACAAATTTATTTTAATATTTCTTCTACATTTTTTGTTTTGTTTTTAAATCTTGGACATTTCATTAACTATTGTTGTATTGTGTTTTTCTTTTTTCTTAACGACCCAAATACATGGAATTGTGGTTAAATGAACTGATTATGAAAAGACCTGGTGACTGATTAGTTCATAGTTTATTGAAAGATTAATGAATAAATACAAAACTTAAACAACAAATTGCAAATCAAACATCAACATTAGACTAGAAGCTCAGGTGTCAAATATAATTATACATTTATTTCAAAAGTGATTTGTCATTTAGTCCAAGTACAAACTGTGCACATCATTTATAGTTGTAATAATTCAAGTTCACCACACTGTAAAAAGTTTGACTGAATATTAGATTCTATTAAAAAACAAAAAAAACATACAAACAAAATATCAGGATGAAGGGTTAATGTGTGTTTCCTCCTGATTATCTGGCCAAAAGTACAAATGCACTGGGTTTAAAGATCATTTTATAAAATTGGTTTCTAAATTACACTTTTCAAAAAAAAAAAATTATAGTTTAGTTGTTTTATGGAATATTAAAAAAATGATTGATTGTTTGTCCAGTTTTTCATATGCATGACTGCCATGTTTCTATTCTAGTGGTAAAAATACTTGTAAAAATGTTTTACTTTTTCAAGGTTATTAAAAACAAGTACTCCTAATTTCTTATTAGTATGCAGTTTCTATGACATCAGTTACATTTCATTTCTACAAATGAATGTAGAATGTAGAATAATTTAAAAAAAACAAACATTTTTTACTCAACAATGGAAATGTAAATGGGCTAACATAGGCCACATAGACGTCGGTTGTTTAGGGCGCCATCTGCTGGTGAAGGCAACGCAAAAAAATGACAATTAACAATTAACAATTAACAAACTTAAATTCTGAAAACCTGCACACAAATATTATTTCATTTTTTTTCCATATTTTGAGTTTCTAAAGTGATGATGCTTTTGTCAGTCACATTCTTCATACGTCAACACTCCTGGTTAAAACATATAGCTACAGATCCTTTCCAAACAATTTGAATATCATGGAAAAGTTTAGTTACTCCTTGGCCCAGTTGAGACACTTCCTACATTGGCTCAGGCTCAGAAGTAGCTTGACCCGAGGAACTCCACAGTTGTAGCCGATCTCCAGCAGGACCTGGCCACTGCACACACCGCCAGAAGCACCAAAACTTGAATTTTGAAAATACCATATTTTGATTTATTTGATGTGATCCTAATTTCTTTAATTTTTTTATAAAAATATACAAACAAATACTTGAAATTATTTCAATCGTGGGCCCTCAATCTATAATCTATGAAAGTGTAACTTTTTGAATGGGATTATGGAAATAAATAAACTTTTCCATACAACATCCCAAATACAAAGCAGTCTTAGGAACAATACCTAAAGGTTTCACCTCAGTTTCACATAACAAAGAGGCAGGTGACCAAAACCATTCTGATGAGGACCACAATGACCCATCAGACTCTTAATGACTGTTTACACTTTCCCAGTTGACCCATGGTCAACTGGGAAAGTGCTGAAGTAGCTATATTCTTTGTCACACCCAGAGTATATATTTGCTGTACTCCCCACCACCAGTTAGAACTGAAGAAGCGTCTTGGATGAGAGGTGAAACGTCTTCTTTTAGAAAATTCACGTCTAGTTGCCTAACAGAACTCTTCAACCTTGACTGGATGGCTGAGAATCTTCATAGACAAACTTTTCCATGATACTCAAATTTTTTGAAAAGGGTCTGTATGCTTCTGTAGAACAAGTTGTGTGTTTAAATAAAATTACTTGATAAAGTATTTGGACCATAACTCTGCTCATTTTTCATACTCTCATGTATATTTCCATTTTCCATTCTCAGGTTTTATAGCAGCAGATATTAAAGGCACTGGCTCCTGGACTCAACTTTACCTTATCACTGACTACCACGAAAATGGCTCGTTGTATGACTTCCTCAAATCAACCACTCTGGACATCAAAGCCATGCTGCGACTGGCCTACTCCTCTGTGTCAGGATTGTGTCACCTTCACACAGAAATCTTTGGTACCCAGGGAAAACCTGCCATCGCTCACAGAGACCTGAAGAGTAAGAACATACTGGTGAAGAGGAACGGAACCTGCTGTATTGCTGACCTGGGGCTGGCTGTTAAATTCATCAGGTGAGGACTAGGATTATTTCTTTTTATTTAGGTTGTTAAAATGAATTACCTCAACGCATGAATTCATTTGTGATATTATTATAACATTATCGCAGATTGACACACTCTGGATTTCAAATTACTCCGGCGAATATCTACTTCTAAATGCTCTGACTCAAAGTCCTTTCACATGCTATTATTTACACATGCTGCTAGAAAAAAAGTTTTAGTTTCTCCAAAGCACCTTGGGCTAAAAAATACCACCTGAAGCCCCAGCATGTGTTTGTGGAGGCTTCAACCTCAGGTCAGAACAGCCTCCCTGAGCGCAGTAATAGGTCTATGCCTGACAAGATGACTGATTAGATTGTTAAATATTGTTGAGGACAAAGGTTCACCAAAGTTTGAAAACAATTCTTGGCACTTCTATAATTTACTGTTCAGTTGCAAAATAATGACTAAAATCCACCAACTGTGTGAAGGAAAACTGAATATGTTTTTGTTGCCATTTTTCCATATCAATATTTCCATCAATTACATTGGTCACAAATGGAAATAGGTGAGAAACACATACACCAATCTGCTGTTATTTGTCTCTCTGTTCCAGTAATAAAAAGGAATACTGAATAATCGTGACCGATCACAATTAATTGTGTCGATCATGAATAATCAAGATTAGTTGTGATTAATTCACATCTACCCTATGACTGAGTTTTAAAAAAAGAACCTTAAGTGTTTAATGTACAATTATTTTCTCATCCGTGACTTTTGCAGTGACACCAATGAGGTCGACATCCCTCCCAACACACGGGTTGGCACAAAGCGTTACATGCCGCCGGAGGTTCTGGACGAGACTTTGAACAGAAGACATTTTCAGTCCTACATCATGGCCGACATGTACAGCTTTGGGCTCATTCTTTGGGAGATTGCGCGATGTTGCATCTCAGGAGGTGAGTAGAGTTTGAAATGCTTCAGGTCTTTTATGACACCATGAAAAAGTAGTAGATTTATTTTTTTTTTCATTGGCAGCAGTTTGGGTTTTTTAAAGTAAATTTTAAAATGTGCTGATTGTTTTTAAGGAATTCTGGAAGAGTATCAGCTACCGTACCATGAGTCAGTTTCCACCGACCCTTCATACGAAGACATGAGAGAGGTTGTCTGCATCAAGAGAATACGACCATCTTTTCCTAATCGATGGACCAGCGATGAGGTAAAATAATAATGATATAATAACAATAAACAACCACAAAGTTTTGTACATGTATACATTTTTTTTTAAATATCCGTGTCTGTTAAAACCCTCAGTGTTTACGACAGATGGGAAAGCTGATGTCCGAATGCTGGGCCCACAACCCCGCCTCCCGCCTCACAGCCCTCCGAGTCAAAAAGACACTTGCCAAGATGTCAGAGTCACAAGATATTAAGCTTTGAGCCGTCACCATCAGATGGAAAAGGCACTAACAGTCACACCGGCAACGGTTCAGGCCATACAAAAACTTTTATTATTATTATTATTTTATTATTATTATTATTATAAATGTATATTTTATTTTCCCCCCGGAAGTAGTATTTTGTAGGAGTTTGGGACAGGATGCCAGAAGTAAATTTGGAAAGCGCAAAATCACAAACATTCAAGTTTTTCAGCCTTTCAATTAATTTATTATTATTATTATTATTTTCAGCCATTCAGTCTGCAAATTAAGATTAGAGATAAATAAGTAAAAGAATAAATAAATATATAAAACCAATCAAGAGTGGTTAAATAAGAATCTGGTTTTGCGTGGTCACGCTTCACGAAAACAACAGAGATGAGGCAGTCTCATTTCCGACCAGGTGATGTAGTTTCCTGTTCACCCTCTCTAGAGAGACTGATGTTTCACTGTAGCTGCAGAGATTAACAGACACACAAACTACTGACCAGTACGTGGAATATTTCAACACTGCTTTCTGTGAAAGCTACCCTACCTGTAGATAAAGGTCTGATGGACAGAACTGAAGGTATGTAATAAATGACGGTCTGTCCCTGCTGCACGACACCTCCCGTCAAACACACTCACCCTCACTACTGCTTTTTCTATCCTAATTAAACTACACTTCTGTCACCCTCAACTGACTTTTTTTTGTTTGTTTGACTGACACTAAGTGACACTATGAGACAGAACAGAAAGAAAGGTTGTTTTTTTTAGGCTTTGAAAAATGTGTTGTTTACATTGATAATGTTTGAAGACAAGGCATACCTGTGATTTTGAGTTGTTAAAGCGTGAAAGTTTATTTTTCATGTCAAATTTAGACTTGTAAAGACTTTATGTGGAAATAAATGAAATCTTTATCTCCAAATTACTCTTTGGGTGAATCAATGAAAGCCCCCCTGTTTTTATTTTCTTATAATACTTGTGGATATTCTCAGTCATTCAGGTCATCATAACAATTTCAAAAGCAGTTTTAAGACGTAGGCAACTGGACTCACCTCAAGTAAATTTAAGACATTTCGCCTCTTATCCAAGATGCTTCATTAGTTCTACGGTCCTGGCGGGGAGTTTCTAGGGATTTATCTATCCACCTGCAGGTACTACTACAGTCCTTCTAAGGACTCTAACTCCCATAATTCCACTGCTTTCGGTAAATCCACATACGTCACGATCAGTAACCTCCGCAAACTTTAACTTGGGGGGTCAGCCCCAATTTCACTCTCTCTGTTCAGTTCAGGACTTTCGCTCCGTAGGAACCCTAATGAAAAGAGAAACCTGCTCGGCTCAGAAGAATAAGAACCGCGCTTTTGTAGACACCATTGCCCACGGTGATAAATGCACTATTTGCGTATTTTTCTTAACTGAGTTAACCGGTAATTAAGTTACACAAGTAACGTAGCGCTGCGACCAAAGCAGTTATTGAAAAGTTTATAAGCGACAGGATTCCTTCTAACAGTAATCGTGTGGACCGGCACATCGACAGTCAGAGACTTTTCCTCCCGAAGCGGACTTTCGGAACCAAGAGGACTCTGCACACAGTGGAACCAGACGGACGTCACCAACCCTGGCAAAGACCCAAGAAGTGCGGACTTTCAACTACCCTCTAAATAGGAACAGACGTTCACTACAGTAAGGCTGGCATTTGGGCACGTTAGTTAACCTGTAGTATTGTTAAGTGCTATTTAAACTTAGGGACAGTTTAAGTGCGCACATTGAATTTTGTTGTCTGAAATCAGTGCTGCTTTTATAGCTAGGCTGTTGCATGCACTTCTTTTCTAACCTCCTGACTCGGTCTTATACTCTTGTACACCGTCAGTATTTCAGTGTTAACTTGTAACGTTATCAGTATTGGGATCAGGAAAACTCCGACAAGTCCTTTGTCTTGAATAGACCACGCGGTACGCCTCCCTTCCCCCGTATACTTTGATAACATCACAAGCACTGTTTCATTGTACCTGAGCGCATCTTGGTGCGCGTGCACAACACCCTTTCACACCGTCGTAAGCGCATACACGCCTCACGTGTTTCCTGTTGCCGTCCCTTCTATCTCGCAGTTGTTCTTTCACTGCGCAGTCGTGTATGTGAACACGCCTGAAGTAGGGGTGGGCGATACTGGGAGCTAAGAGGCAACATCTCTCTCTCTC